TTGATAGGCTGAGCCGGCCATTGGCTGTTGGTTCTTGAGGACGAGCTAGGGAGGGAGGCCTGGCTTGTTTTCTATCCATTTCAGTAAAGATGATTCTGTTGGTGAGCTGAAGCCAGTGGTCCCGTTTTTGAAGGGGATCAAGAGTAGAGGAGTGTCCACAGGGACCTGAGCAAAGGGCAGGGTTATGGTCCCCCACAAGAGGCCAATGAATGAGCTGATGGATGCTTCAGAGGTGTGAAATATCAGCTTCTCTGTCTCCAGAAAATAGGAGAGACTGTCTTCTTTTTAACCTTTGTAATCCCCCTCTATTCTCTGTGACATTCATTCAGCTGCCAAGAGCGTTTGGCAAGGTTTGGGCCAGCGAGCACACTTCCAGTGACCGCTAACCTTGGTATGTCCTGACACTTATGATGAGTGTCTGCAGGACACAGAAGGCAGGCAGCCTGCTATGTCAGGCTTTCATTATGGACTGCAGAGGCTAGGGACAGCCAGTTTAATAAAACAAATCATCCTTGAAGGTAAAGCAACTGAGAAGAGGAGGAGGAAGACAGGAGGGGGATGTCTTTGCCACTCAATCCTCTGAGAGAGAGGGAGAGAGAGAGAACAGCAGCAGCAAAACATCCATTCACCCACCCACCCTCCTGCTTGTGTGTGGTGCCCAGCTGTGGACTCAGCAGATGTGAACCCTTTTCTTCCGTCCTCCCGAAGTCCACCAGCGACTGGCTCACACTGATCAATAAGCAAGAGCAAGTAATTGTGATGGAATGGATAGATGCTTGTGGCCATCTCCCCCCAGAGTGACCAGTGTATTCAAATACCTCATCACCAGTCTTTTTTTTTTTTTTTAAATGTCAAGGCGAGACCATTTGGGGTGAGGCTCCTCAGCTGGGATGCCTTTTTATCAGAGCAAAGTTTCCACTCTCCCTCCTGAAGAACTCCCGGCCAAGCAGCTCCCACAATAGACTCCCAGTTCTGCCAAAGACTTTGGAAGCCTTTTGTTTTTCCCCTGTGGCATGTCCAAAGGCCTGGCCTCCCCCTCCCCCGCCCCCAGCGGCCTGCATTGTCTTGCATTCCAGTGGCTTGATTGACTGTCGCACCTGATGCTGAGGAGACTCGAGGGTTCATTGTGGAGATTGTTGGGTTCTATTAAAAGAAACCGAGATAAGGGATTACTTGTCACTAGGGGCTTTTCTGCAGATGTTTATTAGTGATTGGAAAGCCATTAGGTGTGAGGAGGTGCACAAACATGGGTGATATCACCTTCCTAAACCTGAACCCCGATGCCCCCCGAGTGTCAGGGAGATGTTGTTCTATGCTGGTAAGTGAAGGTGGAGAAAGGTTCTGAGCAGAGGGCCAAGGCTCCTGTTTTCGTGGGTGAGATCTCCACCTGTGGGTGGAACCCCTCGACTCTCTCAGAATAGCAGCTGCTACCCCACACTCCTTCTGGAGCCAACAACAGATGAGCTGAGCCCGTGTCAGCAGGTCCCCAAGAAGCCTTCGCCCCACACAGCCTTCTGCGTTCCCACTGCCCAGAGCAAGCAGTACATTAGCAAGCTGCTTCACTGTGCACAAAGAGGACACCAGTCCCAATAGCCAAAACAGCAGCCGGTAACTCTCTTCACCCATTTCTGTTTCTATTTACATTAAAGTTCCTGGCTCCTTGGAGATGGTTTTCCTCAGTTATAGATACATAGCTTGACAGGAAGTCATTGCCTTATGGGAGACAAGCTGCCTTTATAAAAAGCACTGAAGCATCCTGGGGAGGTGGTTCATGCCTATAACCCCAGCACTCAGGGAGGCAGAGGCAGGCTGATCTCTGTGAGTTCGGAGCCAGCCTGATCTACAAAATGAGTCCAGGACAGCCAGGGCTACACAAAGAAACCCTCTTTTGAAAACCAAACAAACAAAAAGCATTGAGGCCTGGCTTGGGGTACAGGTCTGTCAACACAGCACCCAGGAAGGTAGAGGCAGGTGGATTACTAATTCAAGGTCATCTTCATGAGACCCTGCCTAAAAAAATAAAAAAGAAGGAAAAAAGCAAAAGAGACCCTACCTCAAAAAGAAAGAAAGAAAGAAAGAAAGAGGAAGAAAGGAAGAAAAAAGGCAAAAAGAGAAGAAAAAAAACCCAAAATAAGTAATAAATAAAAGTAAGTAAGTAGTGGGAACTAATCCAAAGGAGGTCAGCACATGTTAGCAGAAAGGCATCTTAGTTCGTGCTCATCTTTATCTCACAATTTCACCATCTCAGGGGATCTCGTAGGTTTTTTTAAATTTAATTTTTTTAAACTATAAAATGGTGATTTCTGAGATCCATGCTGCTCAAAATTATATCTTTCTGCGAATCTGTTTCTTTCTTTTTTTTTTTTTTTTTGTTTTTGTTTGTTTTTTGGTAGTGGGACTGAGCGTCAAAGCCAGAGCCGCATACAGGCCAGGGAAATAACTACCACTGAGCTGCACCCACCCTGCGCTCCCTCCCCTCAAAGCCCCGAGGGAGAATATCAATAGACTACAAAGCACTGTGGGGTGCAGCAGACAGGAAAGGGCTCCTCATTAAGGACAGCAGTGTTTGTGGAACGGTTATAAAAGGCCCCACGGAACACGAAGGTGACACAGAACGAAGACCTAGGCTCCCCAGCCAGAGACATCTTAGGGTGCAGACACTGAAACCAGTTGCGAGGAGGTGAAAAGCAGACACAGTACACAGCTGCCCTGTCACAGGGCAGCTGGCAACAATGACCCCAAGAAATGACTGTTCAAAATGGGACAAGCGCCCCCTAAGCTAAGGGTATGGCCTCTGAGAAAGTGGGCAGAGACTTAGCCCAATCCCTGATGTCCCTCTGTCCTCAGTCAAGTACTAAACTCCCCTTCTCCCTTCAGGGCCTGTGCTGGTATAGGGTTATCTAGACAGTTCTGCTCTTGACAGTTTCCACAAGGCCTTCTCCCTGCCCCTGGAACTGTGTATGTGTGTGTGTGTGTTTGTGTGTGTGTGTGTGGTGGGGATGTTCTTGGAGTGCGTGGGGCTTCTGGTTCCGGCTTGCTCACTTTTTCTAGAGTTCACCCTCCCCCCCATCTCTCAGAGGTCACTGTTTCCTGCAGCTCCGGGCTTGTTCAAGGAGCACAGGGTCTCATGGAGGTTCTGTTGCCAGCAGCCAGTGAGAGCACACTGCTTGCACACTGATCTCTGCTGGTGTAGCTTCTGGCTGCAGACCCATGCCTTAGCCACGTGTCCTCTCTCAGTAAGGCCCTCATGCCATGACTTGTCATTGGGTGGGAACACGATGCTCTGTCCAGGAAATCCACATGCGCACAGGTGCTTCCGGGGGACTGTGTGCACTCTCGGCAGGCTGGTGGCTGCCCAGCCAGGAAGAGGAGGGTCCTTGGTGTTCTTCCAGTCATCTCTGTCCTCACAGGCCAACGTAAATGCTTTGGGGACCAATTACTCAATACCCTCCTTTGTTTCAGAGACACAGTCTCCGAGTAGCCCCAGCTGGCCTGGAGCTCACAGAGATCCAAGATGCTGTGATTAAAGATGTGGGCTATTATGCCAGGCTCCTTCCCTTTTCTAGAGTCCATTTCGGGACCTTTCACTTTTTTGTCCTGGGAAGTTACAAGATTTTCCAAAGGAACGATTGGCTTGCTATTGGACACTGCTTGTTTTAGCTCTGTGTCACCTAGCACCATGTGTGTGCATACACATGCAAGCACACGTGTCTATGCCTGTGCGTGCACCTGCTGGGAAAAGGCAGAGAGGAAGGGCTTGAACTCACAGGACAATAATCTCCCTGGTGTTCCAGTAGTTGACACTTCTGAACTGCAGTAAAGAAGGTCTTTCATGCTACATCTGTGAGGATGTGTGTCTTCGCTACTACCATGCGCTTATGTCCTCAGACATCTGAATTTAGTGTAAAAAGAAGATCTCACTAGTGCATTCTGGGAAAATCATGACTTTGTATAATTATTTTTTGAATCCGTCATGCTGATGTGGACACAGATAGTCCGTACTTGACCGTGAGTTACTTTGAAGGAATACTAAGTATTCTTCTCACACTATTCAGCCAATGAGTAAAAGAATGCAGACAGACAGACAGCTCACATACACTAACTGCTGTGGAAGCAAGGAGGGATTGACAATAGAAATTCTGAAAAGATCACTTGGGGAATGATAATCTTGGAGTAGGATGACCTTGAGTGACTTCTTTTGCTCCCTCCATGCCTCCGCTTTCTCGATGCATAATTGAGGTAATAACATCTTACACAGAGGTTGCAAGGATGGAACGGCGTTCAGTGTAATGTAACATGGTGCCTGAGAGAGCAAATACTCAGTGTTAGTTTTTACAGCAATGACCAGCTACACAAACTACCGTCTAAGGAGCAGTTCTAATGTCCAAGCAAAAGGTAGTGATTCAGGATTCAGTTTAAGTTTCATAACTCTGGACTTTGTGTTGTCTTATCCCTTTATGGTACTGATTGTTTTAATAAATAATTGGGCATTCGAGACAACCATTCCCCAGTACATATAGGAAAAAGATCTTAGAATTTCTTCATTGAAGTTAGGGACTTCGTTTATATAGAAGCCCAACATGTGTTATTCTGCTCTGAGAACACATTGGGTTTTTTTTTTTTTTCATACTGAAAGTCAAAAAGAGAAAGGAATCAAATTCTGAGAAAGGAGTTGGCAAGTTCCTTCCAGAATGGGTCTGCTTACCCACCTGAGGACATGGGTCTCCTTTCTCTACTATGGTGTTCGCAGTGAACCCCTGGTGTCGGTGGGTCCCCAGTCTCCTCCGCGCAAGTCTCTTCTGAGCCCCGTGAGAAGGCTGCCTCAATCGGTGCTGCTGTATCGACAGCTCTGCAGAAGAGAATAGAGGCCAGCCATTTTTAGAAAATGCAGGTGCTGCCTAAAGCCCCCTTCTGAGCGCGTGGCGTTAGCTCGGGTTCCTTTGAAGAACTGCAGACTGGAAACTGAAAACTTTCCTAATACCATTGTCTCCTCGTATCAGCAGGTTCCAGAGAGATTCCTGGAAGTTGCGCAGATCACATTACGGGAGTTTTTCAATGCCATCATTGCAGGCAAAGACGTGGATCCCTCGTGGAAGAAGGCCATCTACAAGGTCATCTGCAAGCTGGATAGCGAAGTCCCCGAGATTTTCAAATCCCCGAACTGCCTACAGGACCTCCTTCACGAGTAGACTGCAACTCTTTTGAATGTATGAGTAGAAGAGGTCTCCCTGGATGTCCACCTTCCCTGTGTCTAGATTTTGAGTTCTTCTACATGTGTGGGGGAGGCATGTTATGTCATGATGTCGGCTGGTGGTTCCTGCTCGTCTTCTCTGGGTTCCCTTTATTTTCCCCCATTACAAGGAGATGGGTATTTTCCTTCTTTGCCTTTAGTTTACTTTTGCCCAAGGCCCTTAATATTTGGAGACTTAAGGTAGGGTTGATTTTCAGGAAGAGGGAATGTCAGCCTGTGTAAAGTCTACATGAGCCAAGGGTGCTCTGCTCACTTGAAAGCTTAGTGTAAATGGCGGTCAGCAGAGCGGACCCGTGACTGCGGCACCCACAGACTATGACTCGCATACCCTGTGCTGTGTCTCTGGTTTCTAGGGGTAAGAAGCTCCGAAAAGCCCAAGGAAAGCACTTCACACACTGGAATACTGTGTTTGGTTCGAGCCCGAGAGATAAGTGACTTTTTCTTAAACCAGTGCCGGCGGCAGCTGGCCAGCTTGCACTGCACAAGCGTCCTCAGAGGACAGGTTTTTAGGAAGATTGCCTCCAAGCCTTTCATGAGAGAAATGGCCAACACCCTCAGACTAGCTTCTGTACAACACCGACTCTCTGGAGGTGAGGCAGGGAGTCCATGCAGGTCAGCCTGCCATCTCTGCGTTCTTAGAACAGGCCCTTGGTGAGACGTGAGCTCAGAGGTGTCGCCCCAGAGAGAACCCAGTGCTTTGTCGTCAGTTCCTATTTATTTTGCTTCAGATATTAAAAGGCATGTACTTTTCAAATGTAGCCTTTGCTCCACTTTTCTTTATATGCTTAGCATTGCTGTTGCTGTTTGACCCTTTTTCTTCTCCTGAAACACTAATTTCTGGATACCTTTCTACAGTTAGGAATTAAGAGATCCACTGACCGTGAAACCCTTGCCTACTCTTAGGACACACTGACAGCTGCTAGCAGACCAGACCTTCACTTCCTGTGAGGACAGCGCCCAGCAATGGCTCATTGCTTCTGGGTATGCCAGGGTGGCATTCCCTCTCTTCTCTTTGGCTACAAAATCTCAAAGAGGCTGCTGGTGTCTCTTCAGAAGCTCATACTGACCAAAGTGTGAGAAGACTGTACAGGTTAGTTTGGGGCTACCCCAGAACACACGATTTCAGCACACTGAGAAAGCTAGCTGCTATTCACCCATTCTCAAATGGCTCTCCCCACAACCCCCAGTTTTTTGATGATCTACCATGTCCTATACTTGCATTTAAAATGCTGAATATCATTCTCAATTGTTTTCTTAGTTGGATTTTTATGTACCGGCACAGTCAACAGCATCATTCACCCTAATAGGGTGCTCCAGGCCCCTACTTTCCCTTAGATAATTTGACATACACACTGTAAAAATGACACAGAAACAGATCTGGCATTTAAAGCATAAAGAACAGAAATGTAATTTTTCCTCAATTTTTTTTTTAATTAAAAAAACCCAACAACAGCAGCGTTTGACTTTGGAGGACGCGGGGCAGCCCTGTGACTGTCTAGCTGGATCACTGCAATTCAACAGCATTTATAAATTCTGCTGATGGGCAGGGATGTATGAACACAGTTATTGTCAGCACAAAGCTTTAAAACCTGCTGACTTTAAGCTGAATAGTGCAGCCCTGAGAGGTCCCGGCATCTTCCGGGAGACCAGAAGGCCCTGGTGATAGAGTGTGGACTAGCATGGTCATTGCTGTTCATTCCCTACGATGGCATCTCTCAGTGCTCACGCACCCATGCACATATAATTACATACATGCATTTAGAATTGTTAGAATATATTTGTTATTTTTCTGGCTACCTTTAAAACTACCAGGTAACCAATCATAGCACCAAAATAAAATACTCAGAATCAAACAGCAAAGTCAGGAGCCCAAAGTATTGTGCAGTATGGAAGTCTTTGACCTGCTTTGCTTCGGACCCAGGGCACTGTGGCTCCTACAAGGGTCCAGCAGGGTCCTAGCTGTGCTGAGGCACATGCCAGTCAGAACTCCCCAACGTTGGCCTTTGCAAGGCCAGAGGCGAAGCTGCAGTGTAGATACCCGGGTAGACAGATTGCTAGCTATCTTCGCCGTCTGGGGCAAATGAATATTGATTCTAGGTTTATTTGGATTTTTAAAATATTGTTTTCCCTCTGCCTTTCTAATTTCAATAGATAAATGTAGCAAAAAAACAAAAATTGTGTTTCCTACTGAATGTCAGTGCCCTTAGCTCCTGGAATCTCCTGTCAGTGTTCAGCAAGGCTGGAGATGATGCCACCCTGTCAGGGCGAGGGCAGACTGGGCTCTGTGCTGGAAGCAGGTCTCTGTGGCTTTGCACTGAGGTGTGGCCCCCTGAACGGCCACCTCACCGTGTGTCTCCCAGGACAACACTGAAGACGACAGCGCCGTCTCTCCACACTCCCGTCAAGCAGCTGTTTTTTTTTGACAGAACAGAAACAACCAGGAAAGTAAATAAAATAAAATTACGATCTTTCAAACCTTAGTTCAGCTCTCACCCAGTAAAGAAGCGCTTTGTGCACAGGGGAAGGTTTGCTTTTCACAGGGGGAGCGTGGGGACCGGCTCTAAATTCACTCCTTTCTTGCTGACCCTCTATTACTTTTGCGTGTACACTCAAGGTGATAGTCTGTGCCTAGATCTAAAATGCACCAGCGCAGGATTTTTAAAATCCTTCAAAATACCAGTTCTTTCCCCACAAGTTCAACTGTTCTTGTGCCTTCTGTGGCTTTCTGTTTCATCTCTTTTTACTTTTATTTCCAACTACAGCTGCAATAAACACTAATTTTTTTTTTCTGGCTGTTTGACATGATGTTGATAGCTATGCATATTTTGCGTCTTTTTAAAGCAAAGCAGGAGAATAATGTTTTTGAAGAAGAGAAATTTTTAGAACAGTTTGATACACTGCAAATTATTTTTTTCCTCAATTGTTTGAGCAGCATTCGAGTTTTGGAGATTCTTGTAGAAGCCAATTTTTTTGTAACTGTGGTGTAACTCTTGTGTTTTAATTCGCCTAATGAGAAGCACTATAGAAGCAATACTTCATACCACGTGCAATGTGTGTGCAGAGGTGTGGGTCTGAACACACAGACACACACATGTAAAAATATACATATGTATGTGTGTGAAGTGGAACGCTTACCCTTTCTTATCTAGACTTAAGAATTTCTTTTAGGCATTTGTTACGTTTTGTGAAAAGAATGTTCTATTTGCAACAACACTTCTTACTGTCTCTCTGGCTGTTCAATGGAGATGTTTTGCATTAAATGGTAAAAAAAAATATGTGGACGATGTTAGGATCTAGTAATTATTTCAGTAAATGTTCACCCCCATATTCCTGAAGTTTGCTTTGTGCCTCTGAGTATTACTTAACTGAAGTGTTTCATGTTTGAAGAATCCTTGTTACCGTGCTAGGAATATGGGTAAATATCATTTTTAAAAAATTTTAAACCATCAAAACAAAAACACTAAAGCAAAGGGGAACTTTTATAAGGAAATGTAAATATTTAGCCTCATGGCTGTTGTTACATTAAGACATGAGATCTTAATAAGTAGCTACAGTCTCGCAGCAGCTGTTGACTTTATTAGGGACACTACAGTGACTGTACAGGAAGTTGAAAGCATTCTCAAGAGTCCTGCTCTCTACTTGCACAAGATGACAGTCTCTCTCTCTATCGGATGTCCAGGGCGAGGGCGTGTCTGTAAATCTATGATATTTCTTTTCTGTGTACAAGAAGACAGTAAGTAATCACCGACATCCCCACACACATGCAGGTTGATATTGCCTACTTAGCTAAGGAGTTTGGGGTGGGGGGAGTCAAGCATAGACTGCTCCCCAAAAGCAACCTAATCAAAGCAGGACTGGTTCACAGATACTCCCCAGAGCAGCAGTGTGTGTCAGGACGTGGACAGTCTCTCTGCTGTGTGTATTATAGAGTATTCATTAGTGCGAGCCGCACGACTGTTTCCTCCTGGTGTAAACTCCGCGTCTGCGGATCACAGCATCGTCTTTAGAGGCTCCCCTTGAAAAACATAACGGTTGGCATGCGTCAGTCGCTCGCAGTGGTACATGCAAGGAAGCTCAGCCTTGCCTCGGTAGACCCATTGGTTTTCAACCATCTAAAACCCTGAAGCGGAAATGCTCATCCTCAGAGCTGGGTTCCAAACTGGTGTTTAACCTCTGCATCCTTCTGAGTGATTCTCCTAAGACTCTGGAAGCGTGTGTGCTTTGCGTCTTCTCAACTGAGCCCTCTCCCCAGTCAGGCACCCTAAGGTGCACACAAGTGAAAGGCAGGCAAACGGCTGGCCTGCCTTTGTGAAAATGGAGTCACTGGATTACAAAAAATAACCAATTCTTCTGCATAGGAAGGAAGAGAGCATTTTAAAGTTGTATATTGCCACTTCAAATTCAGACTTAGGGAAAATGACGTATGTGGAGTTGGTCTCAGCTCTCTAGAAGAATCAAAGGCCACAGCTTCCCCCAACATTGTCCCAGCCATTTCTCATATGTACATAGTATAAACCGTGACAAACACTGCCTTTATATTATTTAGCAATATGTTGTAAATAGCATTATGAAGCTCTTTTTTGTAATAAAGACCCTTTGATTTGAATATAGTACAAATAACTGAACTGATAAAGTCAATTTTTGATTTTTTTTTAGCTAGAAGCAATTTCAATTGTGCATTTTTGTTATTGTCTATTGTTCTGAAGACTGCATAATTTATTGGTTTAATTTATCCTAATTTATTTGATGAAGGTGTACAATTTTGTATTACCAAGGATGTACTGTAATATTAATTGATAGGATAAAAACAGTGAGACTCCCTGTCCATATTCAAAAGAAAACAAAAAGGTGCCGTAGATAATTGATCTTAAAGGAAAAAGTAAAACAATTTAGTCTGGCAGCTACTAAATTTTAAAACAAGGAAAAAATAAAGGACAATGCTGCCGTGGGGCGGGAGGGTTTCCGGTGTGTGTTTGAAGCTTTTCTATACTCTCCGAACTTTGACCGTTTGCTTTGTCCCACTAACGGGTGCAGTAGTTCGCTGCCTTGTGTGCCTTCCATCTTCTCCTGAACTGAATGTATGTGCAGTATATATGCAAGCTTGTGCAAAATAAAATATACATGACAAGCTCATGTCGTCTGTGCTTTTTTTCTGAAAATGCGGGACATTTCATTTGGACCTGTGAGGCTTCAGGCTGGTATGGCTAATATCACGTATGTAGCTTTCCATCCAATGTTGCCCTTACTCATATAACCCAACATTTCTCCAGGCAAGGCCAGGAGATCTTCTTTCTGTGGCAGGAGGCTTGCTATAATGGCGTGATTTCTTTGTAGAAGCTCTCTGATTGGTTGACCTTCAGTTTGAGGGAAGAGAAATGTAGATGCCTCCTGGGTAAGCCAGATGTAGAAACACACGTCTTTAATCTCAGCATTCACATAGTAAGACGGGGAAGGATGAAGACAGGAGACACTGGGAAGCTTGCAAGCCAGCTAGCCCAAGAGTGTGAAGACCAGCAAGCCTTGGGTAGAGAGACCAGCTAGCCTGGGGTAGAGAGACCAGCTAGCCTGGGGTAGACAGACCAGCTAGCCTGGGGTAGACAGACCAGCTAGCCTGGGGTAGACAGACCAGCTAGCCTGGGGTAGACAGACCAGCTAGCCTGGGGTAGACAGACCAGCTAGCCTGGGGTAGAGAGACAAGCTAGCCTGGGGTAGAGAGATAAGCTAGCCTGGGGTAGAGAGACAAGCTAGCCTGGGGTAGAGAGACAAGCTAGCCTGGGGTAGATAGACCAGCTAGCCTAGGGCGGATAGAAAAGCTAGTCTTGGGGCACACAGAGTCAAACAAGATCCAGTCTCAAACAAGGTTAAAAAACAAACAGACAAAAAAAAAAAAAAAAAAAAAAAAGAAGCTACACCTCCGAGTGTATGCGTATTCACACTCACACTCATGGAAACACACTCAAAAGTCTTGTAGTGTATAGAAACCCTTTAAGCTGCCAATTCTTCTGTCAACTAGAAAGAGAAAAGATGGTCTTCAAGTTCATGTAATAACAAGTTACTCAACCATGGGTCTTATGTTCCCATGTTAGACTCAGAAATACGAAAGTGAACAACTTCAATATCTTCCCAAAAGGTTCCTTTGGATATTACTGGCAGCCTGTCTCCTACTGCTCTGCGTAGTGTGGGGCTTTAGAAAACAGTCTTTATTTCTTTTGTTTTGCTTTCTAAGAATAGTAGTATATACTTGTTTGGCTTAGACCTACTTAGAATGAATGTGCCTCGAAGTTTCAGGTGCCAGAAAGCTGGTTCCCAGTGTGGCAATAAGAAAAGGAAGAGTCTTTAAGAGATGGGACGCAGAACAAGGCAGCAGGTCACGGGACTGGGGGTGGGGAGCCTACATCACAGCAGCAGTGCTTTCAGGACCCTGGCACACTCCCCCTCAAGAACAGGTTGGCTCTAAAGGGGCCCTGACTGTCTGCCTGTCCTGCCTCACGAGGAAGGGCATTGTGTTTCCACCATTTACGGTGAAAGCTTTGCTGGAGTAACTGGTGGATGGAACTACCCAATTTGGTCAAAAGTGTGAACTAAATAAATCACTTTTTATCTTAAAATGTCTTGCCTTTAGTATGTTGCCATAACTACTGAGAGCTGCTAGATCTTAGTGTCACAGATAAGAAGGACTGGCCTGAGACAGGCTGTGCTGTCCGCCACTTGCTGAAGCTGTTCTCCCATGCTTCCTGCTGCAGCAGACTGACTCCAGCCCTCTGGTCTCCTTTACTCTCGCTTCAATGGTGAGAGCTTCATGTGTTGGGGCAAGTGTACAGGCTCCCTGGAGTCTGTGTGACATTGAAACTTTATCAGATAAGAGCAGTGGTTTCTACTTTGGGTTCTTGCTTTCTTGGCAGCTTCAATTCCAGGTTTCCTAGCTAGAGTGGGCAAAGGGGACAAGCTGTCATCCCTCTATGCCAAAATATTTATTTCCAAAGTAGACTAAGAGGAATCCCCATTTCCCATGGACTCTTCTTAGAAAGGAGAAAGCACCCAGTAACATAATGACTTTCCATACCCGTGCACAGAGCAGACTGAATAATCCACAGTTTTCCAAGTAAGTTATGTCTTTGTGCTCTAGGAGGGTTGATCAAAACTCTGCTTCCAGGGCTGGCAAGAAGGCTCAGCAGTTGAAAGCACTAGCTGCTCTTGCAGAGGACCTGAGTTCAGTTCCCAGTACCCATACTAGATGTCTCACAGCTCTGTAATTCCAACTCAAAGAACTTCACTGCCCCCTTCTGGCCTCTGAAGGTACTCCAAGCACATGGTGCACACACACATACAGGCACCCACACATAATTAAAGTCAAGAAACATAAATCCTTTGGTGACTAAATTATCTGCTGGTGTTATTCTAAATTCAAGCAGAGCACTGTTCCCAACCCTGAGATAAACCCTTCTGACCCAAACCTGGCTGCACACATTTCTTGAGGGAACCAGTACCTATTCCCTACTGGAACACACATGCCTCATGAGCTAATAAAAAATATAGTCTTATTCTCTTACCAGTTGAAGTAATCAACAGCTCACGAGTCTTCCGTGCAAATGTGTCCACCCCACACACGACCGAGTGTGCCTGCCACTGCTGCTCAATGCAGCCCTAAACTCACTTAAAACATCAGGAGACTTTGTTTTGTAGTTATTTCTCTGTAGCTTGACCTCAGGTGTAAGCTCTAGAGGTGACAATGACGCATGATGATCCAGAAGGTTGGACACACCTTCAAGCTAGCAACTAAAATTCCTCATTTATTCGTAGAAAAATTACCAACCCATATCTGAGGGGAAACAGGCACCCAGAATCAGAGTCACAGGAATGTATCAAACCACACACGCCCGTGTTTATGTGTGGAAACTGATTTTATGTAGACACAGAAAACCACATTCATGTGTGTGAGTGGAAGCAGCAGAAAGACCAAGGAGGAGAAACAGAAAGGGGAAAGAAGGCAGGGAGATGCAGCCAAGGTCCGTCTCATTCTTGAAATAAGTTTTCTTCATGAAGCCCAGCCCTGTGCATGATGAATACAGACCAATAAAAATGGGTGAGTTAAAGTCTTTGATAATCTAAAGAAAATATTTGCCATACATTAGGGTCTACAGAGATTTTGTTTCTTTGAGATGGGGGGAGGTCTCCCTAGGGAAGTATCCCAAGTTGGCTTTGAACTCAAGATTCTCCTAACCCCACCTCCCCAGTGCCTGGGAACCAGGGTGGTGCTATGAACAATCACACGTGGAATCAGAAGATGAAGGGAAGCCTGCATTAAAAAACAAAAAAAAAACAAACAAAAACAGGAAGTAGTCTTAGAAAAAGGCTGGTAACTACGAAAATTATGAACAATGCAAAACTGAAAACTTCTATTCAACTTGATGGAAGTCTTGCTTACATTCACTCAGTCGTAGCCAACCAGGAGCTGGGTGAATCTTCAAGTCTAGCAGGGCTGTGGAGTCCCATGCGGTCGGCATGCTGGCTTCCCCAAAGCAGAGAAAAAAGAGTAGTTTTGTTTTTGTCTTTCATGAGAAACTTAGGTCAAAGAGAACGCAAGGCAAGTGCAAACTCCACATGTGAGCGATCCATCTCCATGAGGAAGCATCTTCCCAGCAGCGAGTGGCAGACGCTGGGGAAGGAGACACTCAAGCGATCAAGGACTTTGTGCTCCTCCTGTCATCAGTCTACTTCCTGGGCAGTGTGTGACGCTCTCGAGTGAAAGCTTGCTGACTTGAGTTAGGTCTAAAGTCTCCTGACTGAGCGGGGATAGCTAGAGATGCTTCCCACCACTTGAGGCTGAGTCTCTGGGTGGCATCGCCATGGGCTGCCCTTGCGCTTTGCCAGCCTATGCCTCCGCTGGAACTGCCTTTCTGTCCCCAGTCATGGGCTCCTAATTCATGTGTTCAACCTTTCAGGAGGAGACCTTTTCTCTACTAGGAGCAAAAATGAAGCACCACAGAAGTGATGTGTGTGTGTTTGTGTGTGTGTGTGTGCGCGCGCGCGTGTGCACACGTGCACACGAGTGTGAGTATGTGTGAGAGAGCATGTGGTGGGTTCACGCATGTGCAGAGGTCAAAGGAGGAAGGGCCATCAGGTCCTGCTCTCTCACTCTGCACTTTATTCCCTTGAGTCGGGGTCTTCCACTGATCCTGGGGCAAGGCTGGGGCCATCCAGGCCTGCAGTCCTGTCTCTGCCCGCCACACTCCTGCGGCCGCAGGCAGGTGGTGCTGCCTGCACTGCCACCCAGGCATTGCACCGGGTGCTGGCACGGGAGCTCATGTGGCCACGCTTGTGCAGCTAACACTCCCCAAACCGTCCCACCAGCCCCAGCATTGGAGGGCATCTAAGTCTGCAGAGGTGGTTCCCCAGAACTCTACAGCAGTGTGGCATTCCCTCTGGGGCTCCAGGTCAAAATCTTTTAACAAAGTCACTTTCATATTCATACTCAAGAAATGTTTTCAGTAGAGGGTGTTCTCTGTGTGAAAATGTGTGCACAAGGGCCTACAAGAGGGCGTAGAGGGTAAAGGTGCCCCAAGCAGAAGGACCCAAGTTCTGTCCACATGGTGGACAGAAAGAACCAACACCATTGGCCTGCACATGCACAGCATGGCACACATAAACACACGCACAGTAACAAATTAATAACGAATGACAAATTTTAGTGTGCACATGAAATCACACAAACTAGGTTGCGTGAAACTATCTTTTAAAGCAGGATTTGTCTCCTAAGAAATGACAGCCAATGTAACTAATAATTTAAAAAAAAAAAAGTAATGAAAAAAAAAAAGAAAGAAAGAAAGAAATGATGGCCCAGCACTCACTGGGCTGCGTAAGAGTTCTCTCATGATGGGTGTGAAAATGAAGCTACACAGTCGTGTGTGGATTCTATCAAACCTTCCAAAAAGAGATTACATCACAGAAGTAGCTCCAGCCTGGCTCGGAGCTCATGCAAGCCAGTCAGTGCTCACAGTATCCAAGTCAGTAGCTTCTGTCCTCTTGCCAAGTCATGCTAAGTTGTGATTAAGAACTACACCCCACAGCACCCCAACTGCCAGGAGACTCGGGGACCCATGGCCTTTGTCCCCAGGGAGCTAGTTTCTGAGCTC